AAGATATTTTTAGTAAACATAGGGAAGTGGTTGAATATATTATTCTGATTTTGAAATTATTCTGGTCCATTTATTCATTCTCCTTAATGAGACCCTTCTACAAGGGAAGCTTCACAGCTGTAAGAAACGTACAAACCATAGGAGCTAGAGCTCAAGAATTCTTGGCATTCTACAAGAATACCTTTAGAATGTGAAAGCCTAAAGCATAGCTATTTTTAGGAAAAAAAATAGATATTTTCCAAACATGTTATTAAAATAAACAATCCTAAGAATATATTACTCAATCAATAATTTGAGATATTTGAGAAAGAAATTCAAATTCTGCTTACAATTCTTATCATCTAGCTTTAATGTCCATTCCTAAAACAGATTATAATGACTATTTTATTTGTCAAACAACTATATAATTTTTATTCATATTACAATGAATTAGTATTTCCAAGGTCCACTATTTTCCTGCTAATAGAAATGGATTGGGATTTCACCCTAGATGATTATACTTCATAGCCAGAGCTCTGAATTACTATAGTCTTCTGCATTATACCTTGCCCTAGACCTTGTATTCTCACAAAGAATGTCTTGGTTATGTAAACAACATTAATATATAAAGTATTTCAGTGTTTCTATGTTTGTTGTCTTATTCTTTGCTTAAATGTAGAATCTATACCATCTCTAGTAGATACATGAAGAACTACCTAATTATTCATTAGAGCAAATGAGTAGATACCTACATTAAAGGATTAATGACCTATCTAAATGTTTTCTTGACTTGTATTTAACATTTTCTAGTTCTTACATATAAATTACTGCATTTTGCTTTCTATCATAATTGGTTTCATTATAAATTATTTCAAATTTTGTAAAAGCAACATTGTCATATTTGCAGTGAACCTTGTTAAATTTACCTCCAAAATTATAATCCTAAATTTCAATATCATGAGAAATATATAAGAATTCTTAATTCACAGTGTTTTCAACATCATTTAACTGCATCATACCTTAGATATTTTTATATATCTAAAACTTTTCCCCAAAGATGTTTTATTTGAATATCCTAGTTATTCTGATTACTAACTATAACAAGCCTTTCAGATGTTTACAGAGTCTTTACATATATGCTATGAATTTCTTTTATGTCTTTCCTTTATGTCTGAGACTTGAGTATGAAGTAAACAACAATTGGAATAGCTTATAAAAATCAAATGACAGGGCTAGGGTTGTGGCTCAGCGATAGAGTGCTTGCCAAGCATGTGTGAGGCACTGGGTTCAATCCTCAGCACCACATAAAAATAAATAAATAAAATAAATGTCTATCAACAACTAAGAAAATTTTAAAAATCAAATGACTTCAAATGTATCAGATTCTGTTCTGAATGCTATATTTACCTTAATTTGTGTAATCCTCTCCATAACACTGTGAAATCATTACTACATTTATTTCCCACTTTGGTAGTAAGGAATTTACAACATAGAATTGGAAAGTTGCCTAAGTAAATGATATAGGTAGATGAAAATCTTTCACATAGATAAACAAAACAAAATGGTGGTGACAAATACATTTGATTACATAATTAAACATTCATATTAAAAGGACATTTAAAATATAAATTACACAAAATTAATTTCTGGCCTTGGAATATCCAGCTCTAAATAAGACATCTAATATGTATAACAATAAAAGCTGAATAAAATGAGAAAAGCTAATTCTTGAGGATACCAGAGAGAAAGCAAGGTAACCAGGAAATTTTCTACTCAGAGAAAATTTCCTGGTTAACTTGCTTTCTCAATACTGAAAGCTTCTGGCTTCTTTCTACCTAAACTCCACTTCTTCATCTCTTATTTTTTGTTCTTTAAATAATATTGGGGCTACATGGGGCTAGATTCTGGTCTATTTCATGTTGTTTTCTTAACTGATTATTTCAAATTCTTTAATATTAAATGTCATTTAACTGCTGATGACTTCAAAATATATGCCAGGTTTTTCAACATTACTTGAATTTCAGACACAAACATTAAGCCACCTATTTAGTCCCCTCAAACATGAAGCATCAAAGTAAGGTTCTCAAATTTTCCTCTGAAATGGTTTCCAAACCTCTTCTCTCTCTAAAATTTCTCAGTTGATTAATAAATTTAGTTATTCTTGGTTTACCTCTCTTATTCATATAATCAACCAGTCTTTCAGCAAGTTACAACAAGATCCCTAGAACATATCTCAAATATTTTTGTTTTTGTGTTTTTGCACTGAAACCTACAGGTTCAAGCTACCAAATTCTACTTTTTGGATACCTGCAATTTCCTTTTTGTCATGACCCTACTGCAACCAAATCAATTGCTCTAAAACAAACAAAATATATATTATAGTAATTTGTCCCTCTTTTTTATAAACATTTAATGTTTTGGGGGGCCTTAAAATAAAAAATAGAATTTGTTAGCTTTATTAGACCATGCTAAAGATGTGGCCCTTTCTGATAAATATCATATCTTTAGTGTGATAAAGTAAACTTACTGGAAATCAGTGAATGGAGTTGTATTACATTCTCCCATTGATGACTCACAATGACTTTGTTTATTTTGATTGCTTTGTAATCTGAAGAATACAAACTATTCAAATGCTAATGTACATTTATTCTATATTCAATAAAAAATTGATTCTGGCATCACTTTTAAAAATTCATTATTATTTAATCTTCAATCTCAATAAATGTAATTATTATTGATACATGTAAATAACTACATATACTTCTCTAAAAGCCCATGTAGTTTTGTGCACATCTATGTGTATAGCCTCAGCCTTCACATTTTCTCATCCATTCTCTTTCTTACTGTGACCTATGGAAGAACAAGATCTAAAGTCAAAAGGCATAAACTTTAGATTACTATGACCAATCAAGAGCTCTAGCCCTTTATATGTATACCTATTTACTAGTGTGTTTAAAACAGGATTCATAAGTTAAATGTACATACAATAGCATTTATTATTCTAGTCACTTTTTTATTATATTATAGTTGTGTAATATGTAGGAAGTAGGCTTACTTGTGAAATCATACACTTATTCCATTTCACTTAAATACTCATTGACTAATTGTAGAGCCCACTGAGGGCCAGAACTTTGTCTGCTTTCTTCATCATTGTGTCTTTAGTACCAACATCAATTCCTGACACAAAATAGTTATTCAGTAATAATGGTTAAATGAATTAATAAATAAATAAATATCATTTTGTTTTCATACCAGTATTGGGAGACAATTCTCCCTAGGGTCTCTCATATTTATGCACATTTTCGAAGTCAAGTCACGGACTGCTTTTTTTTTTCTGGGCTATATTTAAAAAGGATGTTATTATAATAAGGAAAACAAATAAAGTTCTTTTCACCAAAGTAAAAAAACAGTATAGCTGAAAAGCATAAAGATAATGTCCCTTTCCAGAACAATGGAAATATATGTTCATCGGCCATTATGAATTAGTTTCCTGTCCTGTAATTCAAACTTCTGCACATATGGACTTCAGTTGACACTTCTCAAAGCAAAAATTGTACTAAGCAAACTTAAGTAGGTTATTGCAATACAGAAAAAAAGGCGAGAACTGAGTCTCAACTCAGCTTTAAAAGCACAAGTGGTATGTTTTAAAAGCTGAGGTAAGGAGAGCAGGATATTAGGAAATCTGTTTATTAATTGGCCTTACAAAAGCAAAGCAAACTTTTCTCCTATTTTCACATCAGTAGGTAGTTCTATAATTTTGAGCAAAGTGTTAATGAAGTTAGGCTCCTCCCCACCCGGAGAGACCCAGAGATAATATAGCTTCTATCTTCAATGCTAAGGGCATCTCAGAGGTCCTTGAGAAAGACAGTCTTAGATAGTAACAAATCTGCAGGAGGATTTTAGGAGGATTTACATCTCAAAGGAATATAGGATAATTTTCTCAATGCTCTAGAGGTAGGAAGAAACTGTCTAAAGTTCATTTGGCAGAAGGAAACATTAAAGTCCACTTTACTCACCTTCTTTGGTCATCCTGTGGGAAATGAAGGGGAATAAGTAAAAATAAAAACAAAACTTCCCAAATCTGTGATACTTTGACTACTGCTGTTGCTAAGAATAATAAACGGCCTTTCCTCTTTGACACAGGAGTCATGACTTCTTATCAATCAATATGTATAAAGCTGTGGTAATCCACTCAGTGCGGATGTAGGGCAAAATTACAGACATCTCAGGGCTCTAAACAGGCATGAATTTTATCCTTTTGTGAAATCATCACCATAATTTTATCTATAAAAAATCAAGATCACTCCAGTTAATATTAACATAATGTTTAAATAGTTCTTTATGAAGAAGTAAACTTACTGAAAAATCAGTGAATGGAGTTGTATTACATTCTCCCATTGATGACTCACAATGACTTTGTTTATTTTGATTGCTTGTGTTAATGATTTTGGCTAATAATATGTTGAAAGTCATATTTTCTAAGTTACAAATAAATTTACTATGAAGTTATTGTAAGCCAACACATAGAAAATACCAGCATAAAATACAAATTGATAATATTACATTGTTTTCACATTACCTTGCTGAAAACAAGAGAACTTTCAGTTGCAGTGTAGAAATATTCCTTATAAGTAGAGGCACAAGATACCATCTCTGATTTTCAGATTATTTTTCTTCTTATAGTTATAAAGGAATCATTTTTCTTTTATAAAGCTTATAGGTCATAATATTTATTTTTGGTTTAAATTTGCTTTCACTTTCATAGAATAATTAGATGAATAGTGGATAGTTTCCACCATATTGCAAGTGTTTCTTATCAACAGGAGTCTATGATGAATGAGATCATAGTTTTGTACTATTAATTTGACTTTTAAAATTACCCTATGAAAGAAATACATTCAATGTCTTTCATTTTAATTTTCATTATATTGTCAGAAAAACACATGCATCTTAACAGATTTTTAAGTGTATAGTGTGATATTGTTAATTACCAGTGAATATGCATTTCTCCCATGTTTCAGGGGTAACGGTGCTTGAAGGCCCTATTTATGCTGTGGGAGGCCATGATGGCTGGAGCTATCTGAATACAGTGGAAAGGTGGGATCCGCAGAGTCAGCAGTGGACATTTGTAGCCAGCATGTCAATTGCTCGGAGCACAGTTGGTGTAGCATCATTGAATGGCAAGTGAGTAGATTTTTCTTTAATTTTCTTATTGGGAAAAAAAATAAATGAAAATTTATTTTTAAAACAACTATTAGTAAATTGATTCAGCAAAAAAAAATTAAACACTTTAAACTGTTGATGTTTTAAGGTTTAGTCTGCTTAGATAATTGACAAATAAAGACCATGCTCTCTCCATATAAGCGGGAACCAAAAATGTTTTACTTTAATTTCCAGTTAGAGAAGTGTCAAATATATTTTATGAGACTATTTATAACCTTCCTGGAAAAAAAAATAGGTAAAAACTACCCTTCAAAAGTCTTCTAAATATTTATTTTCAAAATATACTTCTTTGCATAATTATAACTTTCTGTCTACTTTTAAAGCATCTCCATTAGTATTACCTAAGTGAGAATTTAAGCCTAGAATCCTCAACATCAACACTGTTGATATTTTGTACCAGAAAATAATTTGTTGAAGGTAGAGTTCTGTCCTGTGCATTGAAGACTAGAAGCATCCTGGACTTTAATCCTCTAGAGACTAGCAGCATCACCAAGCATGACAAGCAAAAATGTCTTAGTACATTGCCTAATATCATTTGTCTGATAAATTCCAGATCCTTTCACCCCTGTTAGAACTGTGGTCCTAGGCAAAGGCAATAGCACCACCTACTTGAACAATTGCAAAATCTTTCAAAGAGGTCTCTTTACACCTTTCTCCTACAGTCTATTGGCTAAGGCTTCTAGAGAAATCCTTGTACACATGGTAACAATAAGTGAGTTCTTTGTTAAGTACATACCTTTGCAATTATAATACCATGCAAATCTTTACCTAAGAGGACCTACTAGATGTTACCCCTGTCTACTCTATTTTGTTTACTACACTTCCATCAGATTACCCTATTAACTGTGACTCAAATATGCTAAGGCCTAACCCAATTCAGGGACTCTGAATTTGCTTATTTCCTTGCTGAGATGCTGTTCACATCAATTCTGACATACCTGGATATTTCTCATTGTTTAGATTTCATCAAAAATGTCCACATGGAGAATTATTACAACTAATCTTACCTAAATGAGAACACTGTGGAATATTCCAAACTGTTTTCTCATTGTTGTTGAAATAACTTAAGCTATTGCTTTGTTTCTTTTTACTAACATATATATTTAATAGTATTGAGATTTTTGTCTGCCTTATTCATTATGCCTGGGTATAATAAACATTATCTGTATCTACTGACTGCATATTAAATGAATTCCTCTATCAAATTTAGTTACTTAAAGTCTTTAAAAATTTAAATACTTTTTAAAATATATGCGACTGTGTGTAAAATACAGCTACTATTATAGTACATTGTTCAAAAATAAACTGCTTCTCTCACATAAATTGTAAATAAGCATTCTATGGCTATGAAGCAGTCTATTCTTTGTAAAGAAATTAATTAAACTAAAAGTAACTAGTCTCTAATAATTTTTATTAAATAATTTCATACTTAAATATCTACGTTTCTAATTTTTCAGAATTACAAGCAGAGATAAACTTGAACATATTTGTACATATATTTCTGGGCCCCAAAATTATATCCTATGATACTTAGAAATACACTCAATGGACCAAAGGAAATATATATTTAAAATTTGTTGGCTATATTGCCAACAAATTTTGGCAATATAGCCTCCAAATATCTTATGAAATGATAAAAAGTCCACGTTTCTATAATCTCTGGGGTTGGTCTGGTGTTATGACAGACCTGAAGACTGTATGCACCTGGCAGGCCTCCTGGAGCTTTGGAATCCAGTCTGATACAAATTCAGGCATCAAGACTCAGTACATGAGTAGTGGCCTGAAGTCTGGGTCAGTGGAAGCTGGCCTGGCTCTGGGATTTCTTTGGGAAGGCCCCCTGTTGGTGTCTGGGGCAAAGTTCAATCTCCACTTTCCTTCTTCCTCCTCTAAGGGGTATCTCTCTTCATGTGATACTGCCTAGGGTTTGGGGGATCGGGGCATAGACAATGTAAATCTGTTCTCTACATTTTTTATATGACTTCTTATTTCTATGCTATATTTGGGTGTTATAATCTCTTACCTAGGTTTTGTTAACTCTTCGTGAAGTTATTTCCTTGATGTTCCTGTTAGGAGAAGAATTTCCCATCATTCAATAAGATAGCTTGATCTATCTTATTGGCTTGCCCGTCCTGTCCGTGATTTTGAAACTCTTATCTGTGTCCTTTGGTTTTTTCATCATTCTGTTTCACCATCTTGCTGACTTCCTCTCTCTTCTAACTTCTACACATTATTGACATACAAATTCAATGCTAATGTGTTTATAGCAAGTTATATTTTTATTCATAGTTTGTTAAGGAAAGCTTCATTCAGGTTTACTTTAGACTTAAATTATATTCTAGTGTCATATTATTTTAGGAATAAAAAGTGAATTAGCACTCTATGTGTACATACACATGCATGCACATTTATGTTACATTTTACATTCTGTTTAATTCAAAGATAAGGTACACTTTTTATATTTATTGTTTTTTCCTATTTTCTCTTGGTTGGTTATCTTCTATATAATTTCATTTGAATTCAGATAAACTTCTTATACTTCAAAAGCCACATCCCAAAGGAATCTATTGGATTTTTGCCTGTGAAGAAATATTTACACATTAATTTGAAGAAATTATAGATGCTTTGTATTTGCAATGTTTTCATCTGAGAACATGGCCATAATTTTATCTTTCAAAATCACACTTTATGTATTTTAGTGGTTTTGAATTTGGCATAGTTTATTCTTTCTGAGGATATTCACATTGATTTATATATTTGAATACTTGTGTATTACATATTTGTTCATATACTTGCGTATTAACAATTACAAAATCGAAGATACATAATGCATATAATAGTCGTTTTACTAAATGAAGATGTTAATTCTGTTTTTTAATTTATAATAATGTTTTCTAGGAAGATAAATATACAGTAAACTAGTAAAACACCATCTCTGATTTCTTAATATTTATATTTGTTTTTATCATATTACTTTCCTTCTTAGAGTAGTATCATACATAGTTGTTATACCAGGTGTCCTTGTCTATGTTTTCTAATTATCAAACATTTTTAATGGATATAGTCGGTGATGTCATTTATCATTTAAGACGCATATGCTATGTGATGTTAAAGGCAATACCTTATTGTATATTGCAGGAAGCCATCCAGGAATTACATGTGGGTCTTCTCTTGGTATGGTAGCCAGGGAGATTTAGGTTTGGCATTGTGAACTATCCGTGGCTCTCCCACAGCAATACATTGCCCAATGTGCATGAGCTTTATCTCTGCTCTATTAGGAAGATCCCTCATAGTAGCTCTGGAGATAGGCGTAACCCATTGGGAACTAGACAGCCCAACTTTAACCTTTTTTATTGAAGAACATTCTATGGAAGGCCTTTGATGTTTTCCTATATAAATAAAGCAGGCACCGACCCATTTTGCCAGTGTATAGAAGCTTGATCTATCTTGTTGGCTTGCCCGTCCTGTCCGTGATTTTGAAACTCTTATCTGTGTCCTTTGGTTTTTTCATCATTCTATTTTTCACAGCTTTCATTTGTCAGCCAGCCCATTCCACTGAGGGGAACCCCATTTCCACCACCTGCACAAGATGTGAGTGGGAGTGTTTAATAATTGATAGTAATTAAATAATCAATTTTAATATTTGATCTGCATAACAGTATGAAACATTATGTAGGAAGAATTATGTTTTTCTTTGTGAGGCAGTCAGAGAACTTTATAATTTTCACCTGGAGTTTTGATTTCTTGCCATTGGAATTAAGAATGCTGACAGAGGAAGCTCAGAAAAAAAACACCACAAATTTAAACACATGGAATCCAAGTTAGTGCAGAGCTGCACCTCAGTGCAGAAAGAGATGCAGCGGTCAGTCACAAGATGCATGTGATTGCCTGCCAAGTCCTCTGTTTATGCCTCCTAGTCTAGCCCCTGGGCACCTGGCCTGAACTCTATAGGGTTCTGAGGGGCACTGGTCTCCTAATAAGGGATAGGTACAAGGTCAAGCCACTCCCTGCAGGCTTCTTCCCTTATGGCAACACAAGAAACCAGTTGCTTTACCAGGGCTTCCCTGACCCTTGGCCATGCTGTTCCTGCAAGAGCTCACAGGAACAACCAGACTAGAGACATTGTTCAAGTGTGGCTGAAGGAGCTGATACCCATCAGGCCTGTCATCTTCATCAAGACTATTTCTGATGTCCTCAGAAGAAGATCTTTATCAGCCAAGTCACCATCTTCACCCACAGCTTCACCTGCTAACACAGTGGCTAGATAGTGGTGAGGATACCACACTTGATTGCAAATAGAGCTGCTCTTGTTCCTGGTGAAACTGCTGATGTAGGACTCCCTTCTCTGTAACAGTGATAATTTTATCCCCTTGCAGCTGCAGGGAATCAACCCCCTTCATGTCCACTAGATCTGTGAGGAAGTCACTAATTTCTGCTTAGTCATACAAGAACATATAGAGGTCCTGGAGAAGTAGAAGTCACTCAGGTTTGCATCACTGAAAATGGCAGTTTTATCTGTCAAGAGGTACGCCTTGATGTCCTGGAGGCCAATGATCTTGTTAAAGAGCTCATTGACAAGGAGCCAGAGAAGCCCATAGAGTTTCCATGCATAGAAGAGGAAGACATGGACTTGCTCTAGAAATGCAGAAGCTGGAGCAGCATTGTGCAGAGTTGTTCTTGCTCTTGAGCCCCAGGTGAAATCCAGGAGAATGAAGACCTTGAGGTTGAACAGAAACTTCACTTGAAGAGACTTTTCTAGAGTACTCTCCAGGTACCTCACCAGCTTCTGCTCTAAAGGACTTGTTCTCAAGTAGAAGTGTGTCATCACAACCTGACTCTTTTTATCTGCCCCTTCATGAGCTGAAATAACTCTGCTGGGGAGGACATCACCCTGACAGGAGAGCTGCAGATGCCAAACTCTGGAACCAGATTCCTCATTCACAGGAACCTGTTTTCATACTCTG